CCTCAGCCCCTTGGGAAGGCAGGTGGAAAAGAAGGCCTGAGGGTGGCAGGTCCAGCCAGCTGATGTGGGCGATGGTGACGCTGCCCTGCTGTGAGGTCAGGGACCGGGGCAGGCGGCGGCGGCTGTAATTAGAGCCCAGGGTGATTCAGGTATTCCCTGGAGAGGAGAGAATGCAACAGGAAGCCGCAGAATCCCCACATCCGCTGGGGCAGGGGCAGGCAGGGCTGGGGGGAGACAGTGGCTGGCAGACACCCACCCTGGGGAGCAAGACAGACATCCTGACTAGAGGAAGGGGACAAGGTCGGGTCCAGGGATCCCATCTCCCCAGCCAGCAGGGTCCTTGTTCTAAACACAAGGTGGACTTGAGCAAAAGAGGCAAAGCTGAGAAGAGAGGGGACCCACCTTAGTTGAGTACTGACTGTACACGTCTGTCATTGTGTCAGGCGTGGATTTCATCAGCCCCATGCACACGCACACGTGCACAGGCACAACCCTGGTCCACCAGGGATTTAAGGAAGGAGGGGTGGAGTGATCTGCCCAAAACCACACTGGGGGTTCATTCATCTGACTGTAAAGTTCACACTCTTCCTGTCCTCCCTCCGGAGGGAACACGATGGAAGGTGTCCTACCCTCCAGCAGAGGGGAGGGGGAGGGGGCTGCAGGGAAAAGTAGGGGTGGGAGAGGGTGAAGGGTGAGCAGGATGCTCAGTGCTGACTTGACCAAAGGCACAGCTTGTTTGAAACTGAGACTCCTAGGGGAGGAGCTAGGAAAAGATGAGGGAACAAAGTGTCAGGGTGAAAAGGGTACACAATCAGGAGAGGCTTCCTGGAGGAGGTGAATGTGGAGCAGAGCCAGCAAGGAGACAGACACCACTGAGAGGGCCAGCTGATAGGCTGTCGGCAGGGGGGGCGTCATAGAAGAGGGGCTCCATTCACCTGAAGGAAGGACTACTTTTTCTAATTGTCACAAGGCACCAAATGAGACAGCAGAAGCCCTAAACCCTACCCAGAGAGGGTTAACCACACCCCAAGCTCCCACCACATCCAGCTGAGCAGCCTCTCTCTGTGTGTCTCTCTATCTCTCTCCCACCCTCCTCACCTCCCAGGTATGAAGATGAGATCTCCAAGCGCACAGACATGGAGTTTACCTTCGTCCAGCTGAAGAAGGTAGCCTGCCCAGCCTGCCCCAGGGGCTCCTTCCTCATGGGTCCTCTGTCTGCTTTCCCTCAGGATCCCCCAGCAAAGCCCTCGGAGGCTTGAGTCCCAGAACCACAGAGAGATACCTGTCCCCACCCTGCTCCTCCTCCCAGGCTCTGAGCCAGGTCTCCTCTGAGAATCACCCCCATTTCACCCAGGAAGCAAAGGCCCCCACCCCACTCCTGCCCTGGGACCTCTCGACTCCCCCTCCCATAACTCTCCACTGCTCCCACCCCCAGGACCTGGACACAGAGTGTCTTCGACGGACTGAACTGGAGACCAAGTTGAAAAGCCTGCAGAGCTTCGTGGAGCTGATGAAAACCATCTACGAGCAGGTAAGAAGACAGAGCCAGGGTCCTGCGAGCCAAGAGCTGACTGGTCCATGGCTTAGGGGTGCAGGGGAGGGAAGGACATCCAGGGAGTGTGGAACCTTCACAGTCACTCACTGTTTTCAGTTAGTTTTAACAATTTCCTAAACCCCTTCTTGCACTGCTGCCAATAATCCAACATGTCTTCTCATCACTCATTTCACAGAGCATGGGCAGGCAGGTTCCCCAAGGCCTCTCTCAGGGAGAACCCATGCCTTTTTTGTGCTTAAATGCTAAGGCCACACAAGGGCCCAGGTGTATCTGGACAAGATCAGGAGGTAGCCTCAGAACAGGGAGCCAGGGGGCCTTGAACAGCCATTCTTACTGAACGAATCTCTCTCAATCCCTGCAGCCTAATGCAGGCACCCACAGTTCCAGCTCTGACAGTCATGCACTTCACCCTTCCCTGTTCTGAGCCAAGGCAGGGAAGACCTGTAGTTGGATTCTCTGGTTCCCAAACAATACTAGCTTCTACCAAACAAAAATGACCCAGTAAATGCAGATAGAGGGGCCTCCAGACACACTGTCGTTTGTCCCCAAGTCCTCGCCTGAGCCTGGGGGACAATGGCCCGGCAAGCCCTAGCGCACTGCCGGTGCAGTCAGCAGATGGGCCCTGCCACTAGCTTCTGGATGCCGCCCCTCCACCCCACTCTGCCTCCTAATATCCTTTAAGGGGCTGCTGACCACAGCTCCATGGCCTCATCCTGTGGAGAGGGAGATTAGGCCTCATGGCTATACATGGGCCACACTTCCTTCCAGCAGACTCAGCCCCCAGCAGGGCTTCCATAAGCCCCAGACCTGTTTGTGGCCATGGGAGGTAGCAGAGCAGAGAGAACACCATGGCCCTTGGGAACAGCAGGGAGACAGCCCTCATAGGCAGACCACCCACATCAGCCACCCTGAAGAGCTTCACGTCCCTGGCAGAGCCGTCCACAGCCAGGCCAAGCCCTATGTGGATGGACCAGGGGTACCACTGATTGGTTTGAGCATTGGGTTAGGGGTTCTTCTACCCAAATTCGCTGTGAGTGCAGCCCAGGCAGACATCAGCAGGACCAACATTTCTGAATCTGCCCTCCGCTCTGCTAACCCACATCTCAGCAAGCCCGGAGCCCAAACTCCAAGCCAGGACAGAGGTCCTACAAGTGTGGAGATATAACTAGAGGAACGCCAGGCACAGCCAGCATATACTTGAGCACTGCCTTAGTCACAGCCACAAAACTGCTTGGCTCCTGCTCCATTTAGACTTTGCAGCCCTTGGACCCCAATCTTGACTCTGCCTTTTTACCATTTCTATGACTTTGGGCAAGTTATTTCTCTACTCTGTGCCTCAGTTTCCTCATCTGTAAAATGAGGAAAGTGATAGTGTCAGGCTCATAAGATTATGATGAGGACTAAATCCATTCACCCATCTAACAAAGGTTTACTACATGCCTGCTAGGTGCCAGACACTGCTGTCACCGTGAGTGAGCAAGACAGCCAAGTCCCTGCTCTCAGAGCTGGGGGGGTACAGCTTAGCTAAGAGGGGACAGGTAATAAGCAACTAAACAAACATCTGCAGAAGATCCTTTTGGAGGGTGAGAAGTGCTGGGCTGCAAAGAAAATAGGTGATGCAACCACGCTGGAGGGAGGGGAAGGCTTTAGACTCCAAAGTCAAGGGGCATCTCAGAGGAGGTACAAGTGAGAGAAGGCCCAAACTGGGAAAACCCAGCCCAGTGGAGATTTCAGGAGGCTTTGAGCAGAAAGAAGAGCTGTGCAAAGCACCTACAGCAGAAGTGAATTTGGTGATGAGAAGAAAAGAAAGAAGCAGCTGTGGCCAGGGCAGAGCAGGCAGGGCCAGATCATGGAGGGCCTTGGACCCTGAGCCGGGCTCTGGACCTTATTCTAAGTGTGCTGTGCCCCTGGTGGGTTCTGGGGAGAGCGTTGCAGAGGGGTGAAGGGAGTGGCTTGTGCTGGTGGAAGAGTGCCGTGGAGAAGGGACTGCAGTGAGAGCCAGGCCATCAGAGCAGCTACTGGTACTTTGGGAGGCAGCAAGGTGCAAGCTGGTGATAGGACATGAGGTCTGCATTTCTCTCCATGGACCACCCCAAGCTGAGGAGGCAAGACTGACGCTTTGCTAAAAAGGTTCCCCACACTGTGAGCCTCTATGCCAACACTAATAGAAATATAATGTGAGCCATATATATCATGTATTTTAAGTAATTTTATATATAATGTAATTAAATAATATGTAATTTTAAGTTTTCTAGTAGCCAGCCACACTACTAGATTTTCTTAATAAAAGAAACAAAAAATTAATTTTAATAGTACATTTTATTTAGTCCAATATATCCAAAATATGACTATTCAACATGTGATCAATATAAAAAAAATTAATGGGCTATTTTTTTTTCTCATACAAAGCCTTCAAAATCCCGTGTGTATTTTATACTTACAGCCCATCTCAGTTCTGACCGGCCACCTTTCAAGTCGTCACAACTACACACGGCTAGTGGCTCCCCATCAGACAGAGCAGGTCTTAGCAAAGGAAGGGGCAGCCATGGCCACCTCGGGTGGAAGAAAAACATGGCAGACACGAGCCATCCCAGGAGGGCTGGACATGCTGGTTTCAACTCTGGAGCAGACACCAGATCAGCCAAGCATGGGCTACTCATGTGTGGCCCACCTCTGTATCCCCAACACACACACACACACACACACAGGCAGAGAGAGAGAAGGCCTGAAAGCCTTTCCAAGGAGCCAAAGGCCATGGACTGCTTGGGGCCTCATCTACATGCTGCATTCTCCTGGACAGTCCCTCTGCCCCTCACCTCCAGGGACACAGGCTGGTGAAAGAAGCCTAGGCTGGCAGAGGCTCGCATTCCCCCTCAGCTCCCAAAGTGCATTCCAGGATCCTGAGTGCGTTTGGGGCCTGGTTGCAGCCACCCAGAACGCCTCCTGCCCCACCCATAAATTCTGGTTCCAGGGAGATTAGCTAAATCTGAGGACAACCCCCTGCAGCCAGGCACACCTCCTGGGATGCAGATCGCTGCAGAGACAGCCTGCTGAGTCTAAGCTGCTTGGCGCCTGCCCTCCCGTCACCTCCGGGAGTCAGCTCCAGGAACAGGCCGCTCTGCCCTGGACACTTCCCCACGGTTCCGTCATAGCTACTGTTTATTGCGGGCTTCTATATCCCTGCACAGGCTGTGCAAGTGCTTTCCAGGCATAATCTCATCTAATCCCCGCAGCGCCATGAGGTAGGGATAATGATTAAGAGAACAGTCGTTAGAGCAGCTTGGATCTGAATCCTGGCTCAGGAATTACGTGAACTCAGCAGGTTCTTTTCTCTCTCCACGCATCAATGTCCCCATCTGTAAAATAGGGAGAATAACAGCACTTAGCTCACTGGCCTGTTGTGAAGATTTATTTTGTGACTATATGCCAAAGCCCTTAGAACAGTGTCTGGCACATGAGAAGTATTTGTAAACATTAGCTATTTTCAGTTCTATAATTATGCCCATTTTACAGATGAAAAAAACAAGGCTCAGAGAGGTTTAAAAACTTGGCCAGGGTTACCCAGCTTATAAGAGGTGGTGGCACTCAGGGCCTAGTGGTGGCACTCAGGGCCTAGTGTCATTACTACATTTTACTGAGCAGCACTAAGTGAGCCCTCAGAGTCACCGTCTACCCTGACCTGGGGCCACAAAGAGGGAGATCACCTCCTCAGCCACGTGGGTGACGACCCTCTTCAGGCTCTGGCTCCCTAGAGAAGCTCTAAACTGTACTTTGGCTTAATTCTTGCCAGCTTGGAGGTGCACATGCTCCTAGGGGCCCATCCCATGGTGGCACTGCCACACCACACAAGGCAGCATTGTTATACCCTGTGCTGCCCAAGGGGCTGGCATGTCTGAACAGGTCTGCAGATGTTCTAAACCCTCCATCTCCTGCTTCTGTTTACCAAGCTCCTGTGTACCCTGCTCCATCAGCTGTGTTTTGCCGATCCTTTCACCCTGATGGGGAAGCCCTCCTATAGTGTGATCTGACAGTGCCCTGGCCTGTTCCTGAATGGAAAAAACGCCAACCTAGGCCTGGACTGGGAGTGCTAATAGAGGGCTTTATCTAGAACTCCACATGCCCACTGACCCCCACTACATGGTGATCAAGGAAGCCCCAAAGCTGCATTCCTAAAACTGTCCCCAGCCAAGCAGCCCTGGCCAGGATGGCGGTTCCATGTGGAAAACATCCATCTCCGCTGGTAACCAGGGGCAACAGAGGTGGGCATGAATCTGTGGGCACCATTAACCTTATTCTGGCACTGGTTGGGCCCTCCCTTGCTTTTGCCCAGTGGACTCTGTTCAATCAAAACCCCTTGTCAGGAGACCCCCAAGGGGCAGTTGGCCACTGGGCTCAGGGTCCTGACAGCTTTAGGGAAGAGACAGGATGCTCCCAGAGGCTGCAGGATGCCTGCCACTGCCCAAATGTCCTTTTCCAGAACCTGATCCTTGTCACCAGGGATGCTAGTGGGCGGGGTTGGGCAGTGAACAGACAGGAGTGATGGCTTTCCTCAGCTGCTTACTCAACAGGCCACGTGGCACTAGCTGACCCACCCACCTCCACCCCCTGGACCCTGCAGTCTGTGGCCACAGGGGCACAAGCTGCAGGTAAGAAGTACCCACCTCAGCAGGTACAGGCTCCAGAGGCTCAACCATAACCTTTCTGAGCATAAAGACAGATGGAGGGTCAGGAGCAGGCCCAAAGTCTAGAAACAGGGTCAGAATTCAGTCATGAACCAAAATCCAAACCTGGATCTGAGCAGGCTTTCAGATTCAACTGCCGATTTTCAGAGACACAGGGGGCAGAAGAGCATGTTAAGCACCAGCACACAGAGCAATTGGTAAAATGCTGACTGTGGGAGCACTACAAGGCAAGCAGCTCAGTGTTTTCCATTTTCAAAAATAACAAGGAAAAAAAACAGAGAGATGGTGGGGGCATCTGTCATAGAATAAGAGAGACTTAGAAACGTATGGACCAATCACAGTGTGTGCACTTTGTTTGGATCCTGATTCAGACAAACAAGTAAAATTATACATATATTTCAGAAAAATGAGATCACTGACCAAAATTTGATGACTTAAGTAGAGATCAGAACTGGACGGGGAATGCCAGTAGGAGTAACTGTACATCTGTGCCCCATGCCCTCCCTCCCCCAGGAGAGCTTTGTCCCCACTTCCCGGGGTGCCTTCTTCTAGGAGGCCTTGGCCACTTGACTCATGCTGTGCAATGCTGGCCCCCTCCTCCTTCCCACTGGGGCCCCAACCAGATGCTGGCAGTTCTTTATTTTTTTTAACTAAATTTATTGGGGTGACAGTGGTTAATATGAACATACAGGTTTCAGGTGTGGGTTTCTATGTTACAAGATCTATATATTGCTGTATGTGCCCACCACCCAAAGTCATATCTTCTCCCGACACCATCTATTAAGACCCCCCTTCACCCCCATCCCCTTCCCTCTGGCAACCACCACACTGCTGTTTGTGTCCATGAGTTTCAGTTTTATATCCCACACAAGAGTGAAATCATATGGTTCTTAGCTTTTTCTGACTGACTTATTTCACTTAGCATAATATTCTCAAGGTCCATCTGTGTTGTCACAAATGGCAGTATTTCGGCCTTTCTTATGGCTGAGTAGCATTCCATTGCATACATGTACCACATCTTCTTATCCAGTCCTCTATCGCAGGACACTTTGGTTGTTTCCATGTCTCAGGCGCCGTGAATAATGCTGCAGTGAACATAGGGGTGCATAGATCTTTATGAATATGTTTTCAAGTTTTTTGGATATATACCCAGGAGAGGGATTGCTGGGTCGTGTGGTAGCTCTCTTCTTAATTTTTTGAGGAATTGCCAGACTGCTTTCCATAGTGGCTGTACCAGTCTACGTTCCCACCAGCAGTGAAGGAGGGTTCCCTTTTCTCCACAACTTCTCCAAAACTTGTGATTGCTTGTCTTGTTGATAACAGCCACTTTAACAGGTGTGAGGTGGTATCTCATTGTAGTTTTGATTTGCATTTCCCTAATTGCTAGTGAGGTTGAACATCTTTTCATATATCTATTCGTATGTCTTCTTGGGAGAGGTGTCTGTTCAGGTCTCTGGCAGTTCTTTAACACCTCCAAGGAAAGCAGCCCAGGGCCATGGGGGTGGCACCTGGCAGCCCCTTATGAAGACCCCGGTTCCCACCTGCCTCTCTATACACCCCTGAGCATTCAGACTACAAGCTCTCGGGTATGATAGAAAGAACCAGTCTGGGGTTAGAAAGACAGTGGCTTCAACTCCTGTCTCCACGCCTCTAAGGGAGCTTAGCAAGAGCAGCAAGGGCTCTGCATTCCCAGTGTTTCCATAACCTCGTTGAGCCACAGTGTCTTTCCTGTCTGTGATCTGGGGCTAACGCCATGCAAGCCTGGTGAGGATGAACCGTGAGGCTGCCTGGAGAGCAGCTAGCCAAGACGAGCCCCAGGGAAATGGGGGGCTTTTCCACTTCCGGTCTCTGAGGATGGAGGCTAGCATTTTCGGAGCAGAAAAGAGAGAGGGGGGACAAAGGGATCCTGAAGGATAGGGAGAAGATGAAAATATTGAGGCTGAATCCCATTATTGTTGTTGCCCAGCAAGCCCCTCAGCTAGATGGGGAGGGGGCAGCAAGTTTCAGGGTGACCCTGATATCATCTGGCCTCAGCCTCTGGCAGGGGTTGGGGAGGAGCGGCTTGTCAGCCTCTAGTCCCGCTCCTGCCCCTCACCATTCCAGCATTTATTCAACAAACTGAGACTCTCCCTTGCCAGATGTGGGGGGCCTAGAGATGAAGGGGCTCTGACAGGCCCTCAGGGGGGCCCCATCTAGCCCATCTTCCCCTCACCCTGGGGGATAAAGGGACTATGGGGTGCCCCTGACCAGCCCTGAACCCCTATATCTGTGCCCGGACAGGAGCTGAAGGACCTGGCCGCCCAAGTGAAGGACGTGTCAGTGACCGTGGGCATGGACAGGCGCTGCCACATTGACCTGAGCGGCATTGTGGAGGAGGTGAAGGCCCAGTATGATGCCATCGCAGCTCGCAGCCTGGAGGAGGCTGAGGCATACTCCCGGAGGCAGGTTCGTGGCTGACCCTGCAGGGTGGGCGAGGCAGCCGGGACAGGAGCGCCTGCACTGGGGATGGCTGAGGTCGCCTTCGAGTGTGTGATGAGATTCTGGGAAAGGGAACTGGGAAGCACAGGGGCAGGAGACCACAGCAGTCGGTTCCCAGGCAGATGTGGAGAATCAGGGAGCTCAGCGTTGTGCTGAGCCCTGATGGGTGATGTGGGCTGGGAAAGGCCACAGTCTGTACCCTCCAAAAGCTCAGGGTGATGCTGCCACCCAGCAATGCCAGGCCAGGTGTGGGAACAGCTTGTGGGGCTCAGTCTAGGGCAGCCAGTAGGAGGACATGGTGGTGCAGGAGAGGGGGAGAGGGGGAGGAGGGGGGCTGAGGGTGAGAGAGAAAAGGGCAGCAAGGAGTGAAAACAGAGGGTTCTGGTAGGGACACAGTGAGCAGCCCCGGACCACCACCTCCTCTCCACCTCCAGCTTGAGGAGAGGGCCGCCTGCTCAGCTGAGTTTGGGAACAGCCTCCAGAGCAGCCGCAGCGAGATTGCTGACCTCAATGTGCGCATCCAGAAGCTCCGATCCCAGATCCTCTCCATCAAGAGCCACGTGAGTTCCGAGGACTGACCTGGGGATGGAGCAGGGAGGAACACCGAGGACACACATTTTCACTGTCTCTCTCTCGCTCTCTCTTTCACACACACACACACACTGAGTACATGCAAGGGGAAGTGACCTAAGTAGGTTACTTAGCAACTCTGTGCCTCAGTTTCCTCATCTGTTCTCCTAAGATGGCTATGAGAATCACATGAGCTTTGCATGTGAAAGTGCTCCGTAAACTGGCCAGGGCTGTTGGAATGTTAGAGAGCCGGCACCACACACACCCAAAGCCCACGACCTCCTGCCAGTTATACAGAGAGAAGCCCCAGCCTCCAGCCAGGATGAGCCTTCAGAGCACATGCTGCCCTGTAAGGACAGCTGAGACAGGCTCCTCTGGAGACTTGGCTACATCCCTCTTTGGTGGCCTCCAGAAAGTGTCTCCTTAGGTCTCTCTGAACTCCCTCTTTCTGCAATACAACCCATTACCCCATCCAAGAATGGATTGTTTAGCCCTCCCTCCCCACACACACCCCCACCAAGAACAGAGGTAGGCTCCTGGCCCTGGCCCACTCTCTCCCTCCTACCCCTGCTCACCGACCCCTTCCCTCTGCCCTCTTGGCTGCAGTGCCTGAAGCTGGAGGAGAACATCAAGGAGGCCGAGGAGCAGGGTGAGCTGGCCTTCCAGGATGCCAAGGCCAAGCTGGCCCAGCTGGAGGAAGCCCTGCAGCAGGCCAAGAAGGACATGGCGAGGCAGCTACGCGAGTACCAGGAGCTCATGAACACTAAGCTGGCCCTGGACATTGAGATCGCCACCTACCGAAAGCTGGTGGAGGGCGAGGAGAGCAGGTGAGGGGTGGGGATGGTAGGGTGGGGCTGGGGGAGAGGGAGAACCAAAGAACCAGCCCACACAAAGCCAGCCTCCCCCTCCAGCATGATACTGTGAGCCTGACAGGCCTGGGTTCATGTCCTGGCTCAGCCACTTACAAATTGAGACCTTGGCCCAGCTCCTTAAAGTTTCAGTTTTCCCATCTGGAAAATGGGCTGATCATAACCATGCTCCACTTGTGGTGAGGAGGATTAATATGATTCTGCATGCAAATACCTGTCACAAATAAGTGCTCAGTAAATATACAGGGGAGAGGGGACGGAGGCCCAGAGAGGACAAGCTGGCTAGCCAGGGTCACACAGCAGGGCTGCCCAGGGCTGGGGATTACAATCAAGGATTGCTGTCTACCTGCCAGTCCCCAGGCCCCAGGCCCCAGGCCCCAATCCCAGGGGAACATAAGCCACAGGCTCCCTTCACATCCCACCATTTCCCTCCTTTCCCAGGATGGACTCGGCTCCAGCTGCCATGGTCAGCACTGTGCAATCCAGATCCAGAACCGGTGAGTCTACTTGCCCCACGGTGGGGAGGGGTACAGGGTGTGGGGGTCATGACTCTGAAGGCATCATTTTAAGTGGCTCCCAAACCTCCAGCCCCTTCCCTCCCCCACTCCTTATGTTCCCTGTAGCTGCCTCCAAGTCCTACGTTGCAAGAGCCCCCTCCCGGAAGAAGAAAAACAGCAGAGGCCCCGTGATCAAAATCACTGAAATGTCAGAGAAATTCCTCTTGCAGGAGTCAGAGGCCTCAGAGTAAGGCAGCTGGACCCAGGACCCACAGGTCACTCTCCTGAAGCAGGAGAGACCTAAGCTAGACTCAAGAAAGCACTTTGGAGCCTCTAGGTTGGAATGGGAGGCAAACCTGATTCTGAACTGAGAGAGCTCAAAGCAATGTATGTTTTCTTATGGGTGCCAGCAGGGGACAGGACTGTCACCAGCTATTCAAAGCTACTCCACTCCATATCAACATCTCACAATCCCACCCTTCCAACCTTCTAGCCAGAGGTTTCCTAACTAGGTAACTGGAATTGGGGTCAGTTTTATCCCCACCTCCTCACTCCTCTGAGACTCCCCCTCAACAAAGGGCTCTGACCAAGGTCCCTTTGACCCTTTTGCCCAACCCTTGCCCTAAACACATCTCAAGCCTTGCCTTGCCTCAGCCTCTGCACCGAGGCTGGTGCCCTCATTTGCCCAGTCCCAGCCCCGGACCAGGGACTGATGAGGACTGCTTAGCCTGCTCCCCCACCTGGAGTTCCTGGGGGGGAGGGGTGCTGGGTGCACTACCTGGGTCCCCCAGAGACCTGACAGTATTAGGGAGTGAGGGAAGGAGGCTCCATGGACGTTTGGGACCTGAGCCTGGACCTCTGAGATCAGCCCAGACACCTGTGCCCCTTCTCTCCTCCTGTGGGTTCCTCTCAGCAGGTCACAGTCAGAAATGGACAGGCTGCCCAAGCAGCTCCCAGCACCTTCTCCAGAAGCTATTCTTGCCATGATGAACTCCCTGGGGAAGGCTGTATGGCAGCCTGAGACCAGGCACCAGAATCAGATCGTACCTTCCCCTCCCTGCCATCCTGGGGTTCATCACCCTGCCGGGGACCTCAGCTCTCTGCCCCCCCACCCCTCCCAGGTGTTTCCCAGCCTGAAACCTGACTTTGGTGTATCAGGCCCTAGCCCCACCCCTGCATGAAACCCTAGGACTATTTCCCATGAATCCCTTCTCAGAGTCTCTGTTCTCCCCATCAGGCCAACAGCCTGGCCCTGCCCTCTTCTACATTCATCCAGAAGCCCAGGAACACCCCATATCTGTGAGGTTAGAGCTCCCCCTTTTTTCCCCCTCTGCCCTCCTCCCACCATGCCCATTCACCTGACTCCAGCGGAGCCATGATGAAGGCAGAGTCCAGGAAGCTCTGGGAGCTTCTGAGCTCTTGAAGTCAGGTTGGGGAGCCCCAGTGACAACCAAAGAGAAATTCTTCATCCAATAAGATTTGGGGCTGGGAGGAGCGCTCTTCTTTTTTCCTCTTGGCTCTGACCTTTGTAGATTGCAGGGGGATCTTGGCAGCTCTAGCCTCCCACTCCACAAGCCACCTCCTCTCTTTCCCTCTCTTCTCCCTACCTGTCCCTGCCTCCCCTCTTCTAGCCCCAGTCTTTGATTCATTCATCTCCTTTTCCAGGAGGCCTTGGCTCCTTCTAGGGCTCAAGGTCCTCCAGGCCTGTGGGGGGCGCTGAAGGGCTACTTACTCTCTCAGGCTGGAGGGAACTCAGTCATACTCATCCCTGAAGTCCCAAAGGGTGCTGATTGCTGCTTTTTCTCTGCCTATTTATTGGTTTCCAAGGGAGCAAACTCTCAGTGGGGATACAAGATATATAAAATATATATATTATTTTTTCATAACTTATGTGGCTTTTAACTTATTGCTTCCCTTCCTGTTTCTGCATAATCAGTACTATATACTATTTGAATAGATAACACATACCCTAGCCACCCCACCTGACTGGCTGACTACCTTGGGGCAAAGCCCCCTTCTCCCTGCCAAGGGATGAATAAAGTACTGAGATTTGTTCAAGGTTAAAGCTATGTGTCTATTTTTATCTCCCCTCTTGGGATTGGTCAGTCACTTGTCAAACCAGTTGACCACAGGACTTTGGAAATTCTCCAATTATGGGGAAAGGGGGCCGAAACCTAGTTACACCTTCATACCAATGCAACTTGGACACGAAAGGTCTCCTGCCCCACCATCCTACAAGGAGACTGTACCAGTGTTGACCTACATTCCCAGTGCCTCCTGACATGTCCAGGCACCATGTGGCTGCCTTAGCAAGCATAGGATCGAGGGATTCCAACTGGTGGCCGGTTCCCTCTCAAGCACAACTGTGGGGATTGGCATGACCCAGAATATATTCTGATAGGTACAGGTCTAATCCTGCCAAATCAAATCCTAGATCAACAAACAAGGATTGAGGACCTTCTCCAAGCCCAGCCCTGCGCTACCATATCTCCAATTGTTCCCCACCCCTCCACCTCAGGAAGCTCACAGTCAGCTTGAGAGAGAAGCTCTCTACTCAAAATAGCTATTCTGGACTTCCTAGCCAAGTGAGAAGGTCAGAGAAGAGAGAGGCTCATGTAGGGAACCTGGGACTCAGAACTGGCTTCTTGGAGGAAGTGAGTGTAAATGAGCTAGAGAAACTGAAGGAAGAAGGGGCGTCCCAAAGACAGGAATCTTGGGGGCAAAGCAGAGACTTTGAAGCATTGAGACCTCAGAAAAATGAGCCTCAGTTTCCTCATCTGTAAAATGGAGCATACACCTTCCCTATTTACCTAATAAGGCATTTGAGGATCTGACTATAGTTATGTTCGTTCCTATAAGGAATGACACACCTCTTGCTTCCAGCACTCTAAACAGCTCGACAAATGTGAAGGATTATTAGTGATGTTGCCATTGTTATTACAGTAGATACTATTGGTTAAAGACAACTCACTAATGACCAAATACAGGCATATGAGCCTTAGGCTGGTTCTCTCAAGACTCAGGAGAGAGAGATGGATAAACCACATTCCCATCCAGGAGCGGCCTAGAACCAAGATCAGTTCTCTATTTTATCTTTGTTTTCTATTCTATTTTCTATTCTTATTTCTGAATTATGAATTTATAAATACTAATTTAAATTTCTGAATTTGAATAGGAATTTCAGTGTCAAAAATATATAACACATTGCTCTGGCAGGGTGTCTCAGTTGGTTGGAGCATTGTCCCGTGCACCAAATGTCGCAGGTCCAATTCCCCGTCAGGGCACATACCTTGGTTGCAGATTTTTCCCCGTAGGGATGAGTACAGGAGTCAACCAATCAATGTCTCTCTCTCTCCCCCCTCTTCCCTCTCTAAAATCAATAAACATATCCTCAGGTGAGGATATGTGTGTGTGTGTATATATATATATATATATATATATATATATATATCACACATTTGTTATTTCCCTCCTCCTATTTTCTCTGAATTTGTTATTTTTATCATTGTTAAACTTCTTAAGTTGAATGCTTTGATTTTCCATCTTTCTTCTTTTTCAGTATAAGATTATCTGATGAACATAAATTTCCTTCTAAGAACGCTTTTGACTGCTTCCTATTGTTTTCATATGTAGCATTTTTATTAGCTTTTAATTAAAATTATTTTATTCTTTGACTCATAAGTTATTTAGAAATTTCTCC